CTATTGTAGGGGCCAATTGGGAGCGGGCACCAGCTATTCTGGGCGTAATATAAATATCATGGCGAGCCCGATTGGCTAGACCGAATCATTGGTGGAATAGCCCTTCTTGTCCTCAACATTTAGCACTATTCAGCATACCTTTGGCATTCCTACAACCGACGCAATGGAAAAAAGACACGTGTTATCGCCAGCAGAGAAGTGGCTCATTGTGAAGTGTCATCAGTACTTCGTGGAACACAAGGCGATGAACCTCCCTGGTAAGCACCCCCGCATTCGAGACAGTGTCTCCAAGTGCCTCGGGTTTGCCAAGTCGACTGTGAGCAATGTCATCGCCGACTGGAACGAAAACCACGACCGTTCGTTCACTGCCAAAGGCACCAAACGAGGCCACCGTCCTCGTTCGATTGTTGAGCACCTTGTAACCGAGATACGTCAAATTATACACGAATCCAACGCTGCTTGTTTACCTGTGTCTGCAAAGATCCTGACAAATGAGCTGGCCGAGCGCGAGGGAGTTTGCATTCCAGTCCGTACGATGCGAAGAGCGCTGCGTCGAATGGGTTTCTCGTATCAAAAGGGCAAGACGCGATTCTTCCTCGCCGAATCAAGTGAGAATGTGGCATTTCGGACGTCGTACCTGCGCAAAAAGTTGTCCAATCGATCTTGTTCCGGCGGCGTTTGTGTGCCTGAGGTCTTCTTGGACGAATCGTATTGCAACTTGAACCACTCTCCTGGAAAGACATGGGTCGATGAGACAAAGCGAAGACTGACCAAAAGCGGCAAAGGCCCTCGTATGTGCATTGTTGGTGCTGGAGTTGTGCTATCCAGCGACGACGGAACAAAGCGTGGCGAGTGGGCGGGAAATTCATTGGTCATGTGGCCATCGGCGCGAAGACCCAAGCGAAGACGCGCAGCCAACATCCTTGACGACTACGACGACGATGATTATCACGGCAATTTCAACAGCATGTTGTTCGAGAGATGGTTTACCGAACTGTGTGGCACGCTGAAGACGACGTACGGGAGTTGTGTGATCCACATGGACGGAGCAAGTTACCACAAGCGCGTTTTGAATCCCTGCCCAACAACAGCCTCGAAGAAGGCGGATATTTCGTTATGGTTGGCGTCGAAGGAGGTACCGTTCGACCAGAAGCTCACCAAGGCAGAGCTGCTTGTGCTTGTGAAGTCCCATCGCGAACGTCCCTCCTATGCATCTCAAGTTATTGCGACATCGCATGGTCATACGTTGCTGTTCACACCACCATACCATCCAGAGCTGCAGCCGATCGAGGTGATTTGGGGCATTGTGAAGAACAAGATTGCGTGTCGGCCGTCGTCGGATATGGCGGACTTGGAGCGCCGGCTCAAGACGTACTTTGCTGAGGTTACCTCTTCGCATTGGGTATCGGCGCATGACAAGGTCTGTTCGTTTGAGGATTCGTACATGGAGGCTGCTGAAGACGAGCTTCTGGCCCTTGAGGTGGAACCATCAGAAGATGGTGATGGAAACCTGCTTGATGTCTCCTCTGAAAGTGAATAGGTTTTATATATTGTGTTATCGGTTTAACTGCGAAAATTGTATTCGTTTTTTCGATCTTCAACCTCTCCAACCAATTAAAAGTCGTAGAATGTATCCCTTACCCTATTTGAGATGATTTTTCGTCATAGTCTTTTTCTGACTCAAATTTGAAAAGCACCTCAACCGGATAATTTAGTGCGTTCACAGAAGCACTTTTCAAACGAGAT